AAAAAAAAAAAAAAAAAAAAAACGAAAAGAAAGAAAGAAAAAGAACTGTATTTCCTAAGTCCATAAGAAATCATTGAACATGGATTGACCAATCCATTTTTCATATAATATGAAAGATTGTTCTGGTTATTGTGTGGAAAATTGCTTGGAGCAGCCGAACATGGAAGCTGCAGAGCCCACATGTATTTGTCAGTGTAAGTTTTGTTGTCCTATGGTAATAAATATCCCCCAAATCTCAGTGGCTCAAACAATAAAACTGTTTTTCTCACTCAGGCTGCACATCTTTCATGGATTCTGGTCCACCTCGTCCTCACGCGGGGATGCAGACTGACAAGTTTCCACCATGAAGGGTTATTATGTGCCATAGCAGGGAGAGGAAAATGGAGCAAATCAGTCACCAGCTCGTCACACAGCAGAGTGTCCCACGTCACATCTGCTGATATGTTATGGCCAAAGTACATGACTGTCTCCAAGGAGCTGAGAGGTGAAATACTGACATTCATCTGGATGGAGTAGAACCAGGAGAGTCGTAAACATCCTATGGACTACACACTGTTTAACAAGATGCAACAGTATTCTAGGTAAGAGACCATGGAAAGGCATTTATGAAAGCATTTTTAAATCAAATTAGAATTACTAAAATTTGTCGATTAATTGGATGTGAGAGTTGAGGGAGATGGAAGAGTCAGGGATCATTTCCCTGTGATGGATAGGACAACTGGATAAATGCTGTAAAGTATCCTGAGTTGGAGAAAGTAGAAGATATTTTGGAGTGGGAGGGAACATTCAAACAGAGATGTCTAGTACACAGCTGGAAATGAGATCAGAAGAGAGGTCTGGGCCGAAAAATAAATTTTAGAGTGTTTGACATCCAAATGGTACTTGAAACCAATGGAATAAAGATTTGTGTGGGAGGGTAAGCAAATCATTGTTCTTTGAGACTTTCTCGATTTTGGCACTGAAAGTCGTATGTCATGTGAATATTCTCAGGCTTGAACGAACTGCAGTAGTTGGTCACCCTGTGAGAGTGTGAATAAAAAGAACACCAAGACAGATTTGTGAGGTGAAAACATGTACTGGTCAGGTTGAACAAGAGGAGTTGTCAAATGATACTGAGAAAAATAGTCATGAAGACAGAAGACAAGTCAGAGGAATATCAGAGTCCCAGAAAGCAAGGAAAGAGTTTCAACAAGGAGAGAGTGAGGGGCCAACAGGGCCAAATGGTACCCCAAGGTTAGGTAGGACTCAGATTGCAAATGTCTATTGCTGAGGGACTGGAAAACAGCTGAAATAGGACTCCCAGTTGTTCACACAGCCAAGCAGAGATCAGGCAGGGAGGGGACGGCTTGTCCAAACACAGGAGGCTGACACATTAGGAAGGGGTCTGAGCTTGTCCTGGGTGTAGTGACCAGATACAGTAGATAGCATGGCAGCTTCTCACATAGCAGAAAAGAAATGATGCAGATCTAGGTTCTTGACTTGCAGTTCACTGCATACCTCCTCAGGCTGCTGGACTGCAGAATTCCAAAGGAATTCATTTAACACGTAAGAGGAATCAAAAAGGATACTCCTCAATTATACAAATGCAGGACACAGATAAAACTCTCTTTTAAAGGTGAATAGAGAGAAAATAGCCAACTGGGGCCTATGGAGAGACTCTGAAACATAAATGAAGATAAACTATAAGAAACATAAAGAACGTTTTAATAAACATGATTTTTCTTTCTCAGTACAATTCAAGAAAGCATGAATCAGTTATTGGGGTTTTTCCTATAGAGTTGTAGGAATTCCTTACATATTTTGCGTATTAACTCCTTATTAGATATATGGTCTACAAATATTTTCTTCCATTCCACAGGTTGCCTTTTCATTCTGCTAATTGTTTTCTTAGCTATACAGAAGCTTTTTAGTTAATATAATCGCACTTACCTAGTTTTGCTTTTTTTTTTTTTTTGCCTGTGCTCTTGGTGTTTTATAGAAGAGATTATTGCCCAGACCAACATCTAGAAGATTTCCTCCCATGTTTTATTTTAATATTTTATGTATCATGTCTTATATTTAAGTCTTTAATCCACTTTAGTTGATTTTTGTATGTGTCATGAGATAGTGCTCTGATTTCATTCTTTTCCATGTGAATATCTCATTTTCCCAACACAATGTATGAAAGAGATTCTTTTTTTCCATAGTATATTCTTGGCACTCTTGGTAAATATCAGTTGACCATATATGCCTGGGTTCCATTCTGGGTTCTGCATTCTATTGCATTTGTCTGTATATCTGTTTTGATGCCACACTGTTTTGTTTACTGTAGGCTTTAAGGGTCTTTAGTGTTTCCAAATGGATAATAGGATTTCTTTTTTTATTTCTGCAAAAATGCCATTGGGATTTTGTTGGAGATTGCATTGAATCTATTGATTGATTTGGAAAGTAGGGACATTTTCTCTTCTTAAGTTTTTAAGCTATCTCCTACAGGAAGGAAGAACATTTTAGCAATATTAATTCCTCCAATCAATAAACATGAAAAATATTTACATTTGCATCTTAAAAAAATTTTTGTCTGTTTCGTAGTTTCGAGAGTACAAGTCTTTCACTTTCTTGGTTAAGTTTATTCCTAAGTATTTTGGTTTTTTTGATGCATTTGTAAATGGAATTGTTTTCTTAATTTCTTTTTCAGTCTATAGAAATGAAACTAATTTTTTGTATGTTGATTTTATTTTCTTCCACTTCACTGAATATGTCTGTAAGTCAATAATTTCTCTCTCTCTCTCTCTCTCTCTCTCTCTGTGTCTCTCTCTCTCTCTGTGTATGTAGACTTTAGGATTTAAATATATATATATATATATATGTATATATAGGACTGCATCATCTGCAAACAGAAATCATTTTACTTCTTCCTTTCCGGTTTGGATGCTTTTTTTTTTTTTTGGCTAATTCTCTGGTAAAGACTTCTTGTACTATGTAATTGAACAGAAGTGCCAAGAGTGGGTATCCTGGCCTTGTTCCAGATCTTAGAGTGAAAGATGTTAGCTTTCTAACCATTGAATATGCCGTCAACTGTGAGCTTGTCAATGTGGCCTTTCTTGTGCTCAGGTAAATTCCTCCTGTATGTAACTTATTAAGAGTTTTTATCACGAAGTGTTCAGTTGTGTCAAGTACTTTTTTCTGCATCTATTGAGATGATCATGCTATTTTTATCCTTCGTTCTGTTAATGTGGTATATCGCCTTGATTTATTTGCATAAGTAGGGCCATCTTCACATCCATTGGATGAATCTTACTTGGTCGTGATGTATAATTTTTTTTAAATGTTCTGTTATATTCAATTTGATTGTAGTCTGTTGAGGAGTTTTGTGTCTGTTTGTCGGGGTTATTGGCCTATAGTTTTGTTGTGTTTTTTTTTTTTTCTTGAGGTGCTTTCATCTAGCTTTGATATCAAAGTAATGCTGGCTTCCTAGAATAACTTTAAAAGTGTTCCCTTGTCTTCTATTTTTGGAATAGTTTAAGAAGCAATAGTATTAATTCTTCTATATTTGTTTGGTAAAATTCACCTGCCAAGCTTACTGGTCTTGGGTTTTTCTTTGCTGACAGTTTATTATCATTATTATTATTCCTTCAGTCTCCTTGTTTTTTATCGGACTGTTTAGGTTTTCTGTTTGTTCTTTATTCACTCTTGGAAGAGTGTATGTTTCTAGGAATTTCTCCAATTCTTTTTGGTTGTCCAATTTGTCAGCATATAATTTTGTACAATGGTTTCTTATGATTCTTTTCTATGAAATCTTTTGTAATGGCTCCTCTTTCATTTCTGATATTTTATCTTTTTTTTCTTAGCCAATCTAGTTAAAGTTTTATTAGTTTTATTTATTTTTTCAAAATACAAGCTCATAGATTTGTCAGTTTTTAAAAAATGTTTTCTATTTTCTATTTTATTTCTGTTCTGATCTTTATTTATTTATTTTTTGCTAATTTTGTATTTAGTTTATTCTTATATTCTAGTTCTTGAGATATAGTTAGGTTGCTTACTTGGGATCTTTCTTTGTTATAATGTAGGTGTTTATTGCTGTAAACTTCCCTCTTAGTACTGTTTTTGATGCGTCTCATAAGTTTTGTTTTGTTGTGTTTCATTTTTGTTGTCTCAAAATATTTTCTAATTTTCTCTTGACTTCTTTTTAGACCCAATAGTTGTTTGAGAGTGTGTTGTTTAATTTTCATGCATTTGTAAATTTTTCTGTTTTTATTCTATTTTTTATTTCTAGTTTCATTCCATTGTGATTGGAAAAGAGACTTGAAATAATTTCAATCTTAAATTGTTAAGACTTGTTTTGTAGCCTAGCAAGTGATTTATTTTGAAAAATGTTTCATGAACACTCGAGAAGAATGAGTATTCTATTTCTGTTGCACTGGTCTAGAACCAAACCTACAGTATCTCTGATGTATGTCTGAATACTTACCTTGAATAATTCCTCTACATAGATTGAGAACCACATTAGACAGTGTTACAGCTTTGTGTTTTGACTGTCAATATATAGAAAACTCAAGAGGAGAAAGTCTATTGTCCTTGTCTATATTTTTGCTCATGTATAATTTCTTCCTTTCTAATGTTCTGAGTCTTTCTTTTATTCTGTTCTTTATGTTTAGAGAACTTTATTGAGTCATTTTTTAGGGTAGATCTGTGGGTTTTAAATTTTCTTAGTTCTCTTTTATCTTATGTCTTTATTTTATCTTTATTCCTGAAGAATATTTTCTCTGGATATAGGATTCTGGGCTGATAGGTGTTTTGTTTTGTTTTGTTTTTTTCTTTCAACATTTGAAAAATATTGCAGCACTTTCTTCTGGCCTCTGTGATTGTTGAAAAGAAATCTACCATTATCCAAACTGTTTTTCCCATATAGCCAATATGTCATTTCTCTCTCATTGCTTTCAAAAATTTTTCTTTGCATTTAGTTTTTAGAAGTTTCACTATGATGTGCTTTGATGTAGATTTCTTACATCCTTTATTTTTATTTTTTCTTTGTTGGTCAGTTTGGGATATTTTAAGCCATTATTTCTTCAAGTACTTTTTTGGCTCCACTGTCTTTCTTCTCCTCTTCTGGAACTCAAATCATACTAATGTTACATCTTTATTAAAGAGCCATATGCACTTGAGAGTGTGTTCTTTCTTTTTTTTTTTTCTCAATCTATTCTCTCTTTGTTGTTTAGAGTGGATAATTTTTATTGTTATGTCTTCAAGTTCTCTGATTCTTTCTTCTATTCTCTCAGTTCTGTTGTTCAGTCCATTTGTTCAGTTGTCTATTTTGGTTATTATATATTTTAGTTCTAAAATTCTCATTTGGTTTTTTATCTTATATTTCCTTGTTGAAATGTTCTATTATTATTATCTCTCTCTCTTTTTTTTTTTTTTTTTTTTTTTTTTTTTTTTTTTTGAGACTGAGTCTTGCTGTGTTGCCCAGGCTGGAATGCAGTGGCACGATCTCAGCTCACTGCAAGCTCTGCCTACCAGGTTCTAGTAATTCTCCTTGCCACAGCCCCCCGCGTAGCTGGGATTACATGAGCCCACCACCACGCCCAGCTAATTCTTGTATTTT